AGGGAAACCGGGGACCGCCAACGTTAAGAAAAAAAAAGTGCTCCGCCTAAAAAAAAGGACCCTAATTTAAAGAACTTCCCATGTCCGGATTGCCTTTGCTCGATGCGGAAAGAGAAACCCTCCCTTTTCTCCCGGGGCAGCCTGGCGCAAAGGGAGTCCAGACGACGTTGGGGGAGCCGCCCCAACCCTTAAGGACGAAAAGAGCCCTAGAAGGGCTTAAGGTTCACATGCCATATAGGGATTCATAGTATAAGGGTATAGGGCCTCTACTTTTACGGTTCTTTTTCGTCCTTAAGGTATAGAAACCCGACACCCGCGATCCTCTAGAGCCCGAGACCGAAGCCTAGATCCTAAACCCTAAACCCTAAACCCAGAGCCTTGAATCCTGGGCCCATAGACTACGAAGCCCAACTGATAAGCCTCAAGCCTATTTATGTTCAGGGTTTAGGGCCCATACTAGTTTGGGGGCTCCGTATTACAATTATAGTATAGTAAGTAGTAAGTAGCAAGCAGGAAGCAGTAAGTAGGAAGTAATTCACCGCAAAACCTTGTGCCAATCATTAGAGGGCCCCTATGTTACGCTGAACTCTATTCACAAAGTCCAAACCCTAAACCCTAAACCCTAAAACGCAAAACCCCTAAACCCTAAACCCTAAGCCCTAAACCCTAAACCTTAAACCCTAAACCCTAACTCTCAGCACAAAGTCCAGCTCAGGTAGCCGGAAAGATGGCTCCGGTGCTCACCGTCCTCGGCTCTTCCATCGACCACGGCATTGGCGGGTCGCTTCCTTAAGGGGCTTCGGGGTTCCTTTAAGGGTTTAGGATTTAGGGGTTTAGGGTTTAGGGTTTAGGATTTAGGGTTTAGGGGTTCCTTTAAGGGCTCCCTTGAAGGTACTTTTAGGGTACTGTAGGCTAGGCTAGGGGTTTAGGGTTGAGGATGATTTAGGTCCTAAACTAAACCCTAAACCCAAAACCCTAAACCCAAACCACTTAAGTCCTAAACTACAGGATTTAAGTGTTTTGGGTTTAGGGTTTAGGGTTTTGTTTTGTTTTTTGGGCCAAGGGTTCTGTCAAGCTTCCTTTGAGGCTTCGGGAAGGCCACCATTTTGGAGATATGGGGGTTATTATAGGATCCTTAAGGGAGGGTGGTTCAAGGGGGGAAGGTACAAGGAATCCTTAGGGAACCTTAGGGAGCACTAGGGAGAATTAATGGGGTTGTGGTATTGGGCCCTGAACATTAATGTAGTCCCCTTGATGAATAAACCTCTGTTCTTCTGGGGCCCTAAATATTAAGATTCATATGGTAACTTTTGTAGCGAGGTTTCTCTTTCAGGGCTACATGAAAGACTGGCTCCAGCAAGCCGTGACCGAAGCTGCATCTCTTAATTTTGGGTCCTCCTTGGAGGGTCGGGGGACTTAGTAACTAGTTATTGTTCAGACTTATAATTACCATAACCCCAATAAGCATCCCTTTTCGGGTACTTATAACTCTACTTATTACCTACTTGCTAAGTCTCCCGACCCTCCAAGTAATCCCTAAGTCACGAAACCCTAAACCCTAAACCCTAAACCCTACTCACGAAACCCCGCACCCCCCGTGTGTGAGAGGCACTTGTTCGACCTGAAAGTCGCAGACGCGATGTTGAAGAAGTTCCAGGAGGGTTTAGGGGTGTAGGGGGTTTAGGGGTTAGGGTTTGGGGTTTAGGGTTTAGGGTTAGGGTGTAGAGTTTAGAATTTAGGATTTACTATTCTCGTTTTGGACGACTTTGGCTGCCTTAGCTGGGCCCCCACAGCTCCCTCCCTGAACCCAAAC